TGAATGGCACACAAGAGAAATAGTTGATGTGGTTAAGTCATTAGGAAACTGCATGTTCAGTTGGCCTGTCAAGCTTCGGCCTTCTTATATGATGAATCAATACACCAAATTCTTGCCTGTGAATGGGACATACAGAGAGTTGAAGAGGGATCTATCCTCTGCTGTCGCTGGCTTGAGGTCATCTAAACTTTTAGCCAACTCTTTGGCAGACTGGGCGTGCTAGTATGGCTAAAAGTAACTTCGACGGGACTTGATCAAAGCAGATGGGGCATGTGATTGCTCGCTTACTGACTATAAATTTGTTAGCAAAATTTTATTAAGCTGATGTACACAAATTACTTTTGTCATGGTTCTGATTGTTGTGTGAAAACATAAAGGAAGTCAACAGGAAATGATTTCATAGATTCTTAGAAGCCACTGTTTGTTTATTTGTTTGTTTAACATATTTTGGAGCGTTACTTCACTACCCTGCTCTCGACATAGATATAGGGTTTTTGTTGAAAACTCTTATTGTCAGATGATTCCCATCTAGAGCTGTGTGAGTGGAAAATAATCCAACATCCTGCACAGGGTCATTTGCTTGTGCTATTTTCATAGAGCCGAAGTGAAACCCAAACTTCTGGATTCTGTTTCAGAAGTACGAAAGCCTTCTTCAACTGACATTTGTAACTACATGTACAACTTTAAAAGAAGAGTTTCACCACAGTATTGCAAATGAGCTGGCGTTTACATACTGCTTTCATAGTTGTATACGCTTGTTAAATCTGATATAATTAGCCATTTCTAGGGTCCAAAGTCACCTTCCTAAAATTAAATTAAACAGTAAGAGTTAACAATGGTGCATATTCTTTTGGCTCCAGTGTGGCTGATCTCCCAGTTGGTGCAATAAAGGTTAACATCCAGACATCAAAGAAAATAAGATTTGGCTAAGTTCAAAGTTGGCAGGAAGTTAGCTTGCTAGTTTCTGGCTGAAGATGATAACACCATGTACTGACTTAAATATCTCTAAAAAACTAAAGAATAAATAGCTGTGATATCACTTTGGACATAAGCAATGACAGAAAACGAATTACGGTAACAATGACATTTGGAGGGTTAGTGATGTTGGGCTAGTTGACATATAATGAGTGTTACCTGGTGGCTAACTATAAAGCCTCGGTTATGCTAATATAAACAAATTACCACAAGGAAGAAGTAGCAGTTTAACATGTCATCACTTAACCAGCAGACTGACCACTTGAAAGTCTTTGCGCACACATATTTACACACATATTGTGTCTCAAAGGATAAGACCATATAGTCTGCTAATCAGAAAGTTGTTGGTGTGATCCCTGGCGCCTGCAATATGTGCACTAAAGTGCCAGTCATCCATTTTGTGATGTACAGGTCGTGGGATAGGCAGTGTAAAGAGAGACTGGACCTCCCTTTCCCCAGCTACCCCTCCAGCTCATCCAGGGAAACACGGTGGCATTCCCAGGTCAGCTGAGAGACATACTGTAAATCTCTCCAGCGTGCCCAGTGTCTGCCCTTGGGCCTTCTCCCGTTGGGACAACCTGAAACACTTTGCCTAAGAGATGTCCAGGAGGCATGCTAGCAATCCTTTGATGTGGAGAAGTAGCAGCTCTACTATAAGCCCTTCCCAAATGACAAATGACAGCCATCCTTCAGAGTAAGCTCATTTCCCCTGCTTGTATTTGTGATCTAATTGTTTCGGTCACTACCCAGAACCCGTGGCAAAAGGTGGAGGTACAGTACTGAAGTACACTCAACACCAAATACCCATGTTGCATCCATCTGTGTGCCAGTGTGTCCTTGATAGTTAGAAAGTGCTTGGTGACGAGGTGAATATGGTTTGTAATATGTCTGTGAAGGTTCTCAGTCATCCAGGTCATCGTAGTCTAAGGACTACTTTCCAAGCTCCTTACACAATGGTTTGTAATAAAGAAAAAATGCTTTAAGTACCAGTCTATCCACCATTTATATAGGCTGTCCAAAGATACTGTAATTTATCATTGTACCGCTCACTACATGCAGTCAGATTACATTTTAAAGAGCACCATTTCCTTTAATCTCCAGACCAGTAAAGGTAAAAACATGAATATAGAAAATGGCCAAGTTAAGCAGCACCGTGAAAAAGATCAAATGGTGTTGCTTTCTTAAGGAAAAAAAAACATGTTACAGTTATGACTCTGAATAATTGTGCTGATACACTTTTAAAATTTGATTGGAGCAGTAGTTTTATTTTCTGTAATCCTTTAGTCAGACTCACAGCACTTCTGTTTTTGCCAGTTAGTTTCTGTTTTGTTTTTTTGAAAAAGAAAAAACTTGTGTTCCGTTATGAGCAAAAGGTTGTACACGCCAGGGAAGTGACATCAATACTCCATATAAATATGCTCAAATATTGGAAATTAACCATGCACCACCTTTTGTTTACACAGTCATACACACACACATATTACCAGTTTTTCTTAGACACTCCTGTTTGTTGTTAAGCACTCATTGTCACAAAAGTGCGAAAAAAGCCTCTATTTGACGCCCACCCACAACCACCTCTGTGGAGCCCTCCAAGAGGCGGTCACACACTTGTTGACCCCTCCGCCCTTCACTCCAGCGCCGTTTGCCATGGATGTTTCAAATCCATCTGACCTGCCTGCGCTAATGGACGGCTATTTTGGGAGAGGGATGGCAAAACCGTCTGCTACTCACAACGGCCGCTGTGAAAAAAATACGGTTTGCTAAGAGGGAGGTTCTCCTGTGTATGTGTGTGTGTTCACAGCCAGCCATACCAGTGACTAAGTTCCATGTTGGGTTCATGTGTCGCTGTAGGCCATTGGGATTGCTGTTGAAACATGAGATATCTTACTCTTGCAACACTAAGACTCTGAAATTAATTCCCCAGCAAGTACGTCTTGTCAATTTAGCCTTTTGCCCACATCATTATCTTGGTTTTATGAGGGCGTTTTATTTCGGATGTTTTATTTCTTCACCCTCTGAGGTGCTGCCAGTGTGTACATGTTCGTTACCTCAAAATTGTCCATCCTACGCAAATTTTAAAATAAATTTCTTCCTTTAGACAGATAAACCACATGCCACTTTTAAAAGGAAACACCTCATAGTAATATAAGCATTCAGGCCCTTTTGGAAAGAGCCTGATCAACAGGTTGAGCAGTGGAACATGCCAGTAGGTGAACATGCCTCTCTATTGCTTCTGTAAAATCATCTCGCTCTGTGGGACTTGACAAGCACAACACTGTTTCCATGAAGTAGTTAGGCTGAGTAAAATATAAATAAAAATAGAAAGCATTGATTTGTTCCCTATATTTAAAGTTTATTTTTTTAAAAAGAGGGAAGTTGCTGTAAGAGCAGCTAAAACATTAAACATAAACCTATAAAGAAAAAAAACTTAAATAAAGAAGAAAAGCTGAAGAAAATGATGGAAAGAGTACAACATATTAAATACTGATACTTTTTTCAGTTGATGGGAGCAACGGTGCAGTGAAAGACTGGAAAGTTGTGTAACTTCTCTAAAAACAGCATTACTGAGACGGTAGCCCAATAATAAAATACTTTTTATTTCTCAAGATAAACTTCCAGAGAAATACAGAATTTCATCATCTACAGTGCATGTATCATTAGGATTCAGAGACCTGGAAAATCTCTACCTAAGGGAACAGGCTGAATATCAGTACTGAACGCTGGCTGTGATCTCCACACTGAAAACAGACACAAGTCTGTAGTGAAAATCTCTGCAGGAGCAAAAGAAAACTTCTAAAAAACATTGTCAGTGTGCACATTTTTTCCCTGCATTCACAAGTCCAAGTCAAAACTTAACCATTCAATGAAGAAAAGTCATACGTAAACAAGATGCAGAAATGCTGCTGCCGTCTCTGGGTGGAAGCTAATTAAAGATGCACTGAGACCAAGCGGAAAACTGTCCTGTGGTCTGACCGATCGTGGATGTCCTGTGGTCTGGGATAAAGAAAAGGGCTTGATACCAAATTATTCTTTTTGTAGTTTTTTAAGACATTTCACAACAAGAAATTGGATGATTCTCGCAGGAGAATATCTGATTTAAATAAATAAAAGTATCTAATTTAAATAAATAAAAAATGGGGATAAAGGATACCTCATAGACACTTTAAATTTTAAAAAAATTGATGCAGTTTTGACTTAAATTTCTAATTTTTCCCTTCTCTCTTCCACTTCTTACACCTTTCACAATCTCTGAAGTGAAGTTATCACACATGACCATTTTCTTCCCCAGCTGCAGCAGATGTGCAGTTAACTAAGAAGACAGATTGTGTGCCAAATTATAGAGAAACAGCTTGTGTTTGGTGATATTTGCTGAGTTATTTGAAGCGTTGCATTTGAAATTACCTGCTACTTCAAACAAAGAAAACCAAGTTCATTTTTGCTCTTCTCCTTCTGTAGCACCTACTAGTACGACTGCAACTTTATGTCATCTACATGCATGACAGGGATAATGCAGGGGGGAAAAGGTGTGAGTAGCGTCTGCAGGCCGGCTGGTTGGCTGAAATTACTTCATGTTATGTTGATTGAGTATCATCTGTCATCAGCTGGAAAGAACTCCAGGCTTTGGGACATGAGAAATGAACTTGGTTGATATTATGTATGAAACTTTCTTTTTGATTTCATTAATAATTGAAGGTGCTGGAATGCTGTTTGTAATCGCACAGGCCCAGTTTAACCCCTAAGATTGGTTTAAATCTTCTCATCTGTTTGGGAACAGTGAGCAGAAGCCACCATGCTTGGCACTGAAATTAACTTACACATTTAGCCAGGTACCGAAAACTTATAAAACTTTACAGATGTTGCAAAATGGCCTCATTCTAAAGGATATTTGAAACTTGACATGAACTTTAAGCAGAATTGAGCATATGTGAAGCAGAAATGAAAGCAGAATAGTGTGGCATTTTCTGCTTTCCAATGATTGATTCATGTAGAAGAAAATTCCATAAAAGAAGCGTGTATTTACTTACATGGCTTTAAATAGATCCTGTTCCACTTCACACTAACATTTTGCAATCCATTCGCCTGCAATAAGATTTTCATCCTACTCTCATGGTGAGGACATTATACATTAAACACTCCCTCACACACACAAAGTATGGGCCAGTTCCTCCTACTATTTCTCTTAATGTGTCCCTTGTGCTGGAGGTGTGTAGCTGCCAGCATTGTTCACTGGCTACGCTGGACTCTAACAGCTGTGTGTATTTACCGATGATAAACACACAAGTTGCTGCAGACATTTTAGCCCTGTAACTGTGTTTAGTAACTGGTAACGTTTATTTTTTATTTATTTGTTTTTTTAATATAGGAATTGAAGAACAATATTAAAAGTCTGTAGGTGCGCTTTTGCTGTTTTTCTTCTTTTTTTTTCTGCAGCCGTCTTTGTATCTGTTCAGTATCTGTCAGAAAACAGCACAGATAAGGCGTTCCTGCATGTTTGCACATCCAAGACTGGTCCCACTGGGCTGTGTGAGCTGTTCCTCCAGTGCAGCTCTGGGGTGTGGATCACAGGCTGTGCGACGGGGCCTCCTGATGCAGCTTCTGGGTCAGGCCGTTAGGAATTATTGGTAAGTCTGGAGATGCAGCTTCAGGGCTGGGCTCATTGACTCTATGAAAGGGTAGTTACTTGGGTGGGGCACATCACTGGCCTCCCACACTTAAAGTTTTTGTTTTGTTTTGCTTTGTTTTAAATATGATGTGCTGGATCACTGGCAGGTAAAAAGGGCTTTTTTCCCTCCTCACTTTTGCCTATGAACTCATTAGATAGGTGTTTTCCCAAAGCTCAGTTCAGGCATGAGAGCTCATGAGAAGATTAAACAAATGAGAGTGAATTATTGCTCAAAAATATTAGCTGTGATAAAAATATAGAGAGAATTTATTAAAATTCTGCAAAATCAGAATGATAATTCATCCTGCCAACGCTCTGCTTGTATTTCCGAGCTCATTCTTTTATTCAAGCTCGAATTTCAAAGCATTTTTAAATATGCTGTGTTTGGAGCTGTTAATAATTTGGTGGAGTTGGGGGAGATTTAAAGGAATTTTGTGGTTTGCCAAACTTTGCCTAGGGAAACAAAACTCTCACAAACACTCACAGATTCTTTACACATGACTAATAGTGATATCAACACATACCAGATAAGGTACTGTATAGCGCTGCAGTTAAAGAGGGTATATTTTAGAACATCTCCGGCTGCAGCATTTGTGTCATTCCTCTTTCTCAGAATAAAAAGGAGAACTTTTTTTTGTAAAGTGAAAGTGCAGCAAAGAGCAGCATTTACCATAGCTTATCATAACATTTGTGAGAGGAGTGCATTTCATATGCAAGGAATGTCTGACTCATTTTTCCTGTTTGTGTGCGCTTGTCAGTTATATCTTCAGAAAAGCTGATCTAAACAAGATTACTTAGATCATTTACACGTCTCTTCTCCCCGCAGAGCTCAGGGGACTGTTTTTTTAGCTGTCACTTTGCATAGACAACGGAGGCCTAACTACCCAGTTTTACATAGCAGTTGAAGCCTGATAGCAAGCTTTCTTGGATAAGCTTCCTGCTTTAAATAAGCTCATGTGTTTTATGCTGTAAACCATTCACGAGTTCTTCAGCACTTTCAATCGTAGCAGATTACTCATCGTAAACGGAAACGACAATATTTTGTAACCATTTTTTTTTAAATGGAGAACTTGAAGCAGCCAAATGAATCATACTTGTACGCATCTGAACTTTATTGGAAGGATTCAGCACGTGAAAATGCACACGTGTTCCCTCAGATGCGCCTTTTGCATTTTTATACTTGTAAGGTTGACGATGTTCAGTGCAGTTCACTGTAGTTTATCTTTAATTGGTCCCACATGTACAGTGTCAGAGCACCAAATTCGTATTATTCCACAGGTTTAAGTAGTCCGTAAGCAACACACTGTTCACTCCTGTTTGGGCATCGTTTGCCAAAAGCAACTGTGCCCAGCTGCGTCGGGACATTTGATACATTTGTGGGCTTGTTTTAAAGATTGGAGAACAAAAAAGTTCAAACACTGTTGATCATTTAAATTAAACGTTATACAGTAAATATTCTGTGCACAAGGACAAGAAGACAGTTTTAGTTTTAAACAAACTTTATTCAGCATTTTACTCAACCAGGAACAAATCATTTGACAAACTTTATTTTATTTCACTTTTTTTTTATATTACATTGTCTTACATTTGTCAAGGCTATTATCGATTATCAAAGGACTCAGTCTCTCCAACCCTGTCTGCATCTGCCTCAGTTCAATCTACAAATAGCCATGTCCACGTATAGGCCTGGGATTCAAAACTTCTTCACTCTATTTTCTCTGGGCCATCAGCACAGCACCAGACAATTCCCCCTTTTCATATCTCTCCAGCAGATGAACTGTCTAACCTTGTGTTAGTGAGCATTACTCTAATTTAAAGTTCCCTTGATGGACTATGGCCAGCTGCCTCGGGGCAATGGCTCTCGACGACACTATCTTGTGATGGGATTATACAGACACATGCACACAAATGTCCTGTTTACCCCTTCCTGCTCAGCTTGATTTCACCAGTTTGCTCACACTTTTCAAGCTTTTTCCAGCTAGGTAGAAAGAGAAGGGAAATGTTCAGGAGTAAGCTTGAGAATCCTCTTTTCACTTCTCTTGTCATTGTGGAGTTCTGATTTATTTATTTTTTAGCCATTTTAACTCTCACAGAAGCACTTGAGCAATTGCAACTCGCATTATTTCCCCTGTATTAACAGGACTTACAGGACTCCAAAACAGTTGCAACAGTTGCAAAGATTTGTTCTGATAAACAATCTTATCACTGAAGCTGGTGACTCAATGGTGACGAGCAACTTTGGTGGATGAGACTATAGCAAGTTTTACACATAAATTCCAGGTAATGTTGAGAGAATCAGGTCTGCACATTGTCCAGAGTTGGCTTTTCTCACATGTGATAGATGCATAGTGACACTTGAAATGCATTGTGCAGTTTAGGTTTGGGCAAAGAGTGGCGACTGGATAGTCTGCGCAGGAGGCGGGACGTGATGCAAACTCACTCTGTGAATTACCTGAACCTTTCACACATGTGCTCATTTGGACTTTACTTTCTACAAGGAGGCTGCCTGGGTAATGTCTGGTCCAACTGATATAGATATTTACATTCTAATATTCAGCTCCGCTGGTTAATGTTAGAAAAGTTCAGAGCTACAATGCATTTGAGAAAATGAAGAAATATTCCCTGTAAGATCTGACATGGAGGTAGCCGTCATGATTTTGACAGTTAAATGACAAGTTTATCAGCAAGACACTTAAATGAGACAAAACACAATAAAGCTTCTGTGATAAACATACTTGAGTTTATTTCTGCATGACTGCAGAAGCATGTAGAAGCGACGGGTTGAATGTGTAGAATACAAGCCCTCCATTCTCATGGCGAGACATCAGACCCTCAAGGTGAGACATTTATAGGACATAACAAGAAATTCAAAGGCTTCATTCTTGAAAAACGTGCAGTGTTTTGCACTTCCTCTCCCTCCCGGAGATAACGTTGCTATCCTCAGGGAAAGCAGCTGATTTATTGACAACACAGCACCGCAGCTGAAAGTTTTAAAAGCAGGGGATTTTTTTTTTTTTTTTTTAACTTGAACATTTTATGGACTTTGTACCACGAGACACAGCGTGGCAAACGAGATGGAGACCTCATGACTCCCAACAGACAGGACAAGCGGGGAGGGATCGTCTCCCCCATCAGCTCTCTCTGTGGGACGCTTTTGTTCGATAAGATGTCATGCACCACACCCGATTTAAGTCATGTGCTCCTCATTGAATGACGACCAACACAAGTCAACAAGGATGTGTTTGTGTGTGTGTGTGTGTGTGTGTGTGTGTGTGTGTGTGTGTGTGTGTTTGAGCCACTCGGTACATTTTGCGCATGTTTGTTGTTTAAGGTCATATCGTCCATGTTGTGCTTGCATATCTCCGTGTATGTCTAAGTGCATATTTCTTTGCTGCGTAGCCAAAGTATGAAAGAATGTGCTGGACTGGAGAGAAGGTGCTGTGTCCCTGTGAGTGGGTGTATATGGTCTGGGTCAAGGCTTTTTAGTACATTAAGACCTTAACTCTGCTCCAGGGGACTCTTACTCCACACCCACGCCTCCATTTATTAAACTCTGGACCACATCAACATTCCTGGGATTAGACACAAACCATATAGCTACACATGCACTCGCGATATATTATCGCTGTGAGATACATTCATATATAGCCAGCATGAAACTGTTGGTCAGCCCTCATGTGAGAGCTTAATAGGGTCTTTTGGCTGTAATGAGCAGAGGGACTGACACATTTACTCTGTATGTAAAGGCACTTTGCAAGATTATTAAGGTGGCTACAACCACATTTAAGTAAATTCTCCTTCATTTGCTCAGTATCTAAAAAATGGCCTTGAGTATTCCACCTGGGGGGGGCCGTTGATGTCTCCAGTAATTCGCAGTATAATTTTGGATATCTGGTGACAACTCAGAAAAGGTTGAGTCACAACTTTAGGTTGTTTTTTAATTTCACTTTTGCAGTTTTGTTATGTTTAGGCACCAAAACTGCGTGATTATGGTTAGGAAAATATTTTTGGTAACCATTTCCTGGAAGACTGTCTCTTTTTAGGTGAGTCACGATGAAAAACATTAACCAGCCCCAATATGATTTTCCTGATTTTCTGTCAAAAATGTGTTACAGTGGCTTGAGAGGTTTTCTTAATTCACTTCAGTTGTGTGAATTAACTTGCCAAATTACATTCGTCGCCTCGAAGCACGATGTATTGTAAAGTAAAGGCCAGAAAACAGAGAAAATCCCAATATTCAAACATTAAACTGAACAAGCACTTGGCAACAGCGGGAAGGAAAAACTCCCATTTAACAGGAACAAACCTCTGTCAGAACCAGGCTCAGTCAGGGGCAGCAATCCAGTTAATGGTACATAGTTCTGGCTTGTGAGCACAGAACGCCCGCCCACTGACTTCTATTAACGAGGGGCAGCCAATCAGAAGAAAGGAGGGTGAACTAAGGGGCTGCACCAGTAATGTCCAGTATAATATAAGGATGATGTTGCTATAAATTGACTCCAGCAGTATCCAAACATTTTTTAAAAATGGAGCTGGATATAAGCACAATATAACACACACACACATATATATGGAGGTAATACACAGAGCTCTCTTTTGTACAGGGTATAAACGGCATACTGAAGCTCCCTCTCTCTCACTGTCACACGCACTTCCTGTTAAGCCTTTAATCACAAACATGCTCATTTTCAGTCCTCATGTTTACCCAGACAGATCAATCCAGCTGATCCAGCAGCTGCTGGACCTTGATCTCAAGCTACCCCTGACAGATAGAGCCCCTGTTGGACGACATGCTCACTTTACTGCATGGGTAGAAGCAGGGATATCATTTATTTAGGCTGCAAATACCAAATTTATGATTGTGTGTGATTGTATGTAAATGTAGTCTATCTAGTGGTCCAGTGGAGCTACAATCTCTTTTAGAGGGGTATCATTATGTATGAGTGTGCATATATTTGCACGTACAGTGTTATTTCTTTGCCTCTGTACTGGTTTATGGTTGCACACATATATTCCTCTATGTATTCCACCTGTGCGTGCGCCTGCATGCCTACATAGTGGGTGCTTGCTTCTGCATTAGCATGTGTGTGTCAAGAGCATGGGTTGTAACTCACTTTGACTTCGAGCGAGGCCCCTGGCAGGGAAAGCTGTGGGCCTGGCAGGTCTCAGCAGGGCTCTAAAGCGGCTCAGCTCAGCTCCGCTGGTGGCTGCAGGCCCGTCTCCATGTCACTCGGAAGATGTGTTCACAAGAACTCCTTACTGGGAGGCCTCCAGCAAGAAAGCAGGATAATGTCATCATGTCTTATTGCTGGCAGCCATGTTAGCTCCACAATAGGTTCAGAGAGACTGTGCTGTAGAGAAGCACAGAGATTCATGCCAGTTGATTTGTACAGTGTTTGCCATTTTCCCATTATTAATGGCAGCAAGGCCACTGTTAGAGCTGCTGCAGGCCTGCCAGGTCTGCCTTAGAGAGTAGGCAACTATGTGGCACCTCTTAAATTTTATCTCTGGCTCTTTCTATTCAACTTTCTAAAAGTACACAAAACAAATTAAAAGATTAATAATAATATCTGACAAGGAATTGACTTGCAATACTTAATTCTGAAATTGATATATTTAGTTTAAGTAGCACTATTATAAAACAAGGGTTAGCAGCCAGCTTAGCTCTGTAAAATATGTATTAGACAAAGTCAAAAATGTATATTTTTAAAATTTATATCCCATATGTTTAATGCACATACAGTCAAAATAGAAGAAAAGGTATGTTTTTTGGAATTTATTTTTAAAGAGCGGGTGATTTATGTGAGGAAATGTTCCCCGATAAACAGAAACTGGACCCAGTAGCAATATGAAGAGGAACTCACGTAGCTCTTAGATGAAAATGCCTGCTAGGCAGCAAAGTATAATTTTTGTGTGCTACGGTAAACAAAACAAGTCCAAACACATCAATCACATATCAAAGGTCACGAGGCTTATCTCAGAATACAGAGTATGTCTTTAAAATATGGGTGCTGTTCTCAAGTATCTTTTTCAAAGTACTAAAAGTGGTTTCAGAACATAACTCGTGTGTGGGTAAAACAGCAAATAACAAGTAAAAAAAATTTTTTTTCATTCTTTTGTTCTACTTTACAATAAATAAATAAGTTTGATGTAATTATCCGTTTTCTGGTTCAAATGCTTCTTCACTTCCTAAAAGCAAACAACACAGAGAAATCATTAAGAGTTAAAAACACTGGAAACACTTTCATCTCCAACAAAGGGACCATTGTGGTTTTTCTTTCAGATGTTATAATCAAAAATGTCCCAAAAAAAAGGAAAGAAAGAGGAGAGGTACTAAGCCAGTTCCCTAGTTGACATCTAAAAATGACATGCTGTCTTCTGGCCCTGGTATTTCTAGAAAAAAATGCAGCATTATACATATATAATATAATATAATATAATGTAATATAATATAGTTTCACTATTATCTCAACAATTCACAAATTTAGATTTTGCCATTATTTTATTTAAATGCATCGTTCATTGCCATGAATTCACAATAAATTTAATATAATCTAAAGATGCCATGTAGCTCAGCACAAACAGCCTGCCTGCCTGGATTGCTCGGGCCGAGTAGGTTGAGACAGGGAATGAAATGCATAAAGACGTGGATGTGGAAAGTGGGTGAAGCGATTCAACTAAAAGAGGGAGAAAACACAAAGATAGAGTCGTGGGACGAAGGTGGAATCGGGTACAGAGAAGCGAGAGCGGAGCCATAGTGAGAGTGAGGTTACGGCCTGGACCCTGACCCAGATTTTATATATGGTCTCTGACAACCTGATCTGACCATGCTGCTGTGTGGTCTTCTTGTCTTTCCATTCGTTATGGGTGCATGACGACCACAGAGATCTCCTCCTAGCTCTCCATGCAGTCGTTTGACGAGATGGAGCACGTTCGTTTAATGCCGCATTAAAGTGACGCCAAGCTCGAGGTCAGACGTCGCAAGGTCCTCTTTTGTGATTTTCAAAAATGTACATGCTCATCCAGCAACGATGGAGAGAGAGCTAGAAAATGGAGATCCATATAATTACGTTATGCAGCTGCTTAAAAAAAGAGGTTTGTCAGTATTATGAATAAGAACATTTTCCATGCAGACTGGAAAATGTCTTAAACTCAAAGGGTAGAAAATTTATTTATGTACCAGCAAAGAGAAGAACACTCTGTGCAAAACAAAGTCACTGGCAGTTTGTAGGAGCTCGGCTTTTAGTTTTGCTGGTTTGCTGACAATGCCTACGCCTGCTTGGTTACTTAATGGCCAAGAAGGAGCAAATGCACGTGCTCATATCAGCAAACGTACATGCTCAAAAAAACAAGAATCTACATAATTTCTCTTAAATCTTTCTGCTTGCAACAAAAGGTTTTCATTCTTAAAATATTTTTTAATTTTTAAAAAAAATCCAAACAGGGATAGAAAAATGTACAATTCGAAGAAGTAGGCAGATCATTTCTCTGTGTACCAGTAAGAGAAGAACACTGGGTGCAAGCTGAAGTCTTTGGCAGAGGTTGCTGGCACTCGCTTTTTGCTTTTGCTGGTTTGCTGGCAATGCCTACGCCTGTTTGGTTACTTAATGGCCAAGCAGGAGCTATAACCAAGCCAGCTTCTTTAGAAGAAGAAATCAAGATTTTGGGGCATTTGGCAGAGTTAATGGGATTATTTTTTAATAGCCAGTATTAATAATTCATAATAAAATCCTATCAGAGAGACACTATCATAGTAGTGTCTGTTGTAAAGCTGCGGTTTTTATTTGCTCCATTATTACTAGCAAAATAAAACGGGGAATGGGTATGACGTTGTCTTTATATTTGGGAGGTATTACAGTTTATAGGGGGGCCGAATGTCGGTGTACATTTCTTGAATTTATAGCCTGCCTCTGTGGATAAACATAAACCGACACACACACACATGCGCACAACTACACTGTGTGTTGAGATCACTGGGAGTTAGGTGACAGATACTGAGAATGCCTGGGCCTAAATTAAGCCCACTGCTTCATCAAAAACATCCTGCCTTTCTGCTCAGGCTGAGATTGTGTTCGCTTTTCACGGGGAGCTCAGGTAAGCTAGTGGGGGCAAACGCACTTTTATTCACACGCACGCTCAAGCATTACATTTTGTTACAGAGGCTGTGAGAAGCGATGGAAAACTGTCCTGTTTAATCTATTTAAAAAAATAAGCGCTATTGCTCATATTATTCTTATCACATATTTGTGATGATAAAATTGACTCACTGCAGCGTTGCTGTTTGTTGTGCCAAGAACAAAGACATGGAAAAAATGTAATATTGCTTTATAACCGTCGCTCCTTCTCTGCAAATAAAAGACATGCACCGCTTGGGATGATTCCTTAAATGTACTGTATAAATTCTTTAAATGATGACAACATAGCTGAGCTTAGCCGAGTTGACACTCGCATGCATACATGCACACAGATGTCGTTAGAATTCTAGAAATGTTCCTAGTGCTGTAGGTGTGTGGCGAGAAGTTAAAATAAAGAGTTTTACATAAAAAAAAACATAAAAGTAGCTCATAAAACACGTTTTACTTTAACGTAAACACTCAAATAAAAATCTATACATGACACAATGAATGCATTATTTTGATTTTTTACAGTGAGGATCTGTTCAGAATGAGTTCTCCTCTAAAACACACGAAGGCATGACCTTTGCTTCAAATGCAGCATTGTTCTTCTGTTCAGTTACTTCTAGGAAATGTTTTGAGTACCTCTTTCCATATGCTTGCTGGGAAGGAGAATAAATTCACCTGTATATACACACGATCACAGTGTGACCTATATACAGTAACAAAGAGCCAAAAAATTGGGTGTGAGCATAGAAGGCTAAGGAGGCCAGGAGGGAGGGAGGCAGGGAAGGAGGAGGAGGCGAGTTCTGCACCACTCTGCTCCAGCTCCGACTCTACTGGTGACCCCGCGGCTGTAAATCTGAAAGCAGAAGACCATTCCTCACTTCTTGTTTTTTTCCTTTCTCCTTTTCACTCTCTGGCCCTTTCACATATCAGCGTCTGTGAATGACTTTCAGTATTTGATCTCGGCTCATTACATCTGCTCGGCAAGTCACAGTAGGATATTTAGTTTTACAAGTGAGATCGGGAGGTGAAAATAAGCGTTTAGTTGCAGATGTTTGGGACTCTTTCAAACGACAACTTGAAGTTAATCAGATATGATGTGACCGTCACCACAGCAAATGTCACTGTTGGCCTCTTTGTGTTAACAGGCAGCTTAATTAAGCAGTCACGCTGCCTCGACGTTCAGTTCGGTAAGCAGAGCTACATCGCGAAAACAAGTATTAAGCCATTTTTACTCGTGCTCATTAAGCATGCATGTCTTCTTATTTACACCCACTTCAAAGCTTTCTGTGTGACAGTTGCCAAGCGGGGGAAAAAAATGAAAGGGAAAAGGCGAGAATAAGAGAATAGACTCACTAATACAGTCAATTTCCAGGAAAACCTGACTGTGACCAGTTAATTATCTTGATGCCTAACACACAACATGTCTGTCTTAGCCCGAATTCAATGCCGTGGCAGCTGTTAGAAAAGAACAAAATTTGGTGACGGCCAGGTAAAGGTTTTTAATGCAGGTCCCACCGCTTTTCACCAAACTACGACTGAAATGTTTGTCAAAATGACACTAAAGGTATAATATCTGCAGGGGAGTTGCGTTTCCCTAGCAAAGTCTTCCCAAATGAGTCCTCCTAATGTAATAGAGTAAACAATTCTTGGCTTCTAGTTTTAGAGCCAACTTCCAAATTTTAATGTTTACCTACCTAATTCCCTCCAGCATGAGACTGGGTGGAAAAACTGCCATACGACCGAGTCACAATTCCAAAACCTTAATGAATGACTGTTTTAGTTAGGATTTTTCAGGGATCATTGTGCATTACCTGTCAAAATTAACTATATCAGCATTTTCTGAAGACACTGCCGGAGTCTGTGTGTGGCTTAGTATGAAAATGTCCATGAGCAAAAGACTAATATACGTTCTCATGTGTGTGATCTGAGATCATAACTCTGTGAAACAGTATCAACACTGGAAATGTGGCCTGCTCTTTAAGAGCTGCTATTTTGCCAACAAAGAATGCCCAAAGCTTCATTACTAATCTAACTATATGACAAGACTGACGAGAGAACCTCAGAAGGAAACTGAAAACACAATGAAGATTTAAGCTTTACCAGATTTTAAGAAAATGATCAAGACTGTGATTTTCCCACATGCCGTATTTAGTCCCACAAGGATCCTGTCAAGATCACTTGAAAGTTGTGCAAAGTCTGACCTTTTATTTCTTGTTATTTTACAGTGATTTAACAAAAACTACAGCAGGGAGAAGAGTATAAATACTATTAAAATATTACAGCTGGTGTTTCTGACACAATCAGACAACATTATGTCAGCTGAATAATAGAAACCCAGGCAGACGTCACAATATTTTGGACGTCAGACAGCATCCTGTCAAAAAGACTGCAGTATGCCCAGTTTTTGTTTGGGTTTTTTTGCATTCTCTCTTGTAGTTTTATGAATGTAACACACAACATTTTGGAGCACGCACACACACACACACAAGTGAGCCAACAGAAAGATGATATTGGTTCTGTCAGTTGTGGCGATGGAAAGCAACAAAGTCATTGTCCCTGATCACTGAATCTCGGTCAGTGTGCTAGCAAAATACGGTGTAATCTGTTTCATTATACCACCTTAGAAAAATACAAGCCAATAACATTATGCTTGGTCAAGTAGGAGTCATGATACCTTTTTCACTGCTTAGCTGTCAGCTTAGAACAGAAAATTTGGGTTAGAGTTTGCACAGGCTCACCACAATTGGACAATGGAAAATTGGAAAAATGTTGCCTGGTCTGATGAGTCTTTATTTGGAAGGTGAGGTCAGTATTTGGTGCAAACAACATGAAAGCATGGATTCATCCTGCCTCGTATCAACAGTTCAGCCTCGTGGTGGTGGTATATCAGTGTTTTTCATATTTTGGGCCCCTCAAGTACCAGCTGAGCATTTTTTAAACACCACAGTCTACCTGAGTACCGTTGCTGACCATAGTGTACCCGTCTTCTTCTGGCTGCTTCCAGGAGGATAACACACCACATCACAAAGCTCAAATCATCTCAGGCTATTTCTTTAAATGAGTTCCCTATCCTCAAATTGCCTCCACAATCACCAGATCTCTATCCAACAGTGCACCTCTCGGATGTACAGTCAACAAATCTGCAGCAAGTGTGTGATTCTATCGAGTCAATATGAACTAAAATCTCTGAGGAATGTTTCCAGCAGCTTTTTGAATTTGTAGCGAATGAAAGCAGTTCTGAAGGCAAAAGGGGTTCCAACCAACTACTAGCAAAGAATAACTAATGAAGTGTCTCGTGAGTGCATATATCTGATAGAAAGCGAGGAAGTCTCCTAAATAGGTCCCCGTTTAAATTAAAAGTTACATATAATCTAAACCTTTAAATGGTAGTGTTTGCTGGAGTTGACGCATGACTTAGATTTCCAAAATCCAACAGACAGCAAGACCCTTAGGCATGAACTTACCTTCCATTTTAGTTTGAGCTCAGCTTATAGTGGTGATTCTGAATTGGATTATTTGTATTTGAGATGCAGTAACTGATAAAATCTACAAGCACCCTGCAGGCAAAACTGCAAACTCGCACAAATGATGTGAAGAGTGGCTGAAATTCTGAGAATTATTCCTGGAGGGATTGCTCATTGTATAAACGGGATGCTTATTCAAGCTTTTGACATTTTAAATGATGAAAGAAGTTGTGTAGTTCTTTAATAGCTTTTTAAATACTGGCTTTGTTAGCTTTGCACACTGTTGGATACGGATGGGTAGAGAGGGGAGGATGGCAGGCTGGGGTCTGATGAGGGGAATTTCGTACACTGACAAAGTTTAGCCAAGTTTATCTTACAAACTCCATCACCTCCTGACCCACCCCCTTCCACCACCATCCTCCCGTACAGCTTTTAGGAAAATGGGAGTGCTTATTCTCTTATGTGCATGTGCTTTTTAACAAGTTGATTTATGAAACAAGTGTAACTGTTTCTAAGGCTTTGTTGGCAGGATAAGCAGCGTTGCATTTATTCCGGCCTCTACATCTCCTCAGCTGATGTTGCTTAAAGGCATTTGTATCCTCCCCTGGCTTAATACAGCCCGAGACAATTTGGCAATTATTCGCACAGTTTGAAATGTCAGCAGACGTGAGAAAACTGAGAGGATATGAGTCTGTGATTCATTGTTGTGTCAATATTTCCAAATAAGAACAGGCTCACTGTGCTGTAGCTCCACGTAATCACTTTTTTAAGTATGATTAAAACCGATACCTTTTAATGGAGCCATACAGGCGTACACACCTTTCCAAATGTAGGTGGTGGGAAAAGGAAACTGAGAATTGTTGGCGATGAGCATATACTGCATCTCTCAAGTCCTCCATTTATATTCATTATATGCGTTGGCGCACGCGTGTTTGAATGAACTGGTTTGTTTTGAGCACCCTGAGCTTTCAAAGAAATAGCTCGGCATTTTTGAGAAGCAGGCGCACTTTCTTTCTGGCCAAGAGTTAGATGAGAAGATTGATACCATTCCTGTGTCTGTAGGGTGAGCGTGCAGCTGGAGCCAGGAGCTGTGACGCAACTTGTTTTAATTCAGTTTAGGGATGAAATGATTAGGTGATTGATCGGTTAGTAGATCGACGGAAAATTAATCAGACTTGTCTGTGTTAATGCAATTATCTCTGCAGTCATTTCGAAAGCAAAAATGTGAAAATACTGCCAGTGCACACTTCTAAAATGCCAGAATGTGATGATTTTCCTTGCAGTTTTCTTACATGTTATAGATATAATTATTAACTGAGGAGGAAAACTGCTAATTAAGCACTTATGCACATAACTTACAAGCAAAGTTTAAAAGCTGGAAAACACCAGTGCAGTCATCTCTACGCCACGGTGCTGGACGGCAACAACATCATCACATTAATCAATACCAGCTGATGTATAACTCTGAGGAGATAGTTACTATCAGGGTTATGTGAAAGCTGATTACTTTCCTCACTGTTTGCTCAGGTTGAGCCTGTTGTCAAGGGCTGATTGGCTGAAAGCAGGTCAAGAAGGTTCCTTCTCTCTATTTATTTATTTTTTTTCTTTTAAAGAGGGGCACAAGAAATGCCTGCTCCGCTTTTGATCGCCTCGACACTTTTGTTTGCAGTGTTTGCTCTAGATTTGAGTGGCTTTCAGATCCTGCCGGCACACACCCTAATGGTTAAAGTCTCTTTGCATAAAGATTGGAAACGCGAACGTGGCTAATATGACTCGGCCTGTCAGCTCAGTAATTAGCTCGTTTTATCTCCATCAATTACAGCTGTACAGAAAGGATTAGGTAAACAAAGGTATTTTGTGTCAGACTCATACCTTGTTAGAAACTGGACGATAACAAGAAGACTTGAGGTTGCCAAGAAATCACACATTAGCCCTTTGAAACTAACAAACTAGTCTTTTATCACTTATATGAGGTGCTTGTAGGTGGAATTTTTATTAACTTATAACAGAGACAGCATGGCTTCTTTCACATTTTTGTATTAGGCATTATCCCACAAAGAGGATGCCCACAGATTTTTGGTCCCTCACAAGGAGATGCGATTCAGAGTAAAAGGAAATTTGTGGTTTAACTGTTTAAGATTTAATTTACTCAAACATATTAGACTTTTCTGTCAAAGACGTTTGCAGACAACATTAAATTTAAAAGAGAGCAATTAAAGAGGTGTGTGACACTCTTCTTTTCTTTAATATTATAATATGTTAGAGTGATGAGCCAATGAGCCACAAGCTCGGGCTTCAGACTGCTCCAAACATTCAGTTTCAGGCAGGTTATTTTCTAGTCATGGCTCTTTATAATGTGAATAAATGTGGATGTCCTGGTCATATGAATAACACCGAAGCCCCACCCATCCACCGTCCAAATCCTTTGCTTGTGAGGGGCTACCAATCAGCAGAAAGTTAACGTAAAGGGAGTTAAAATAGCTTATTCCACTAGTTGAACTGAGAGCCTGAACAGTATTAAAACAAGGGATTATTTTCTGAATCATGCAGGGCTACTCTAGTAGAGTCCAAGAATAAAAATAAGTGTTGGGAATGAGCATAATAGGTTCTCTTTAAGTGTTTTTTCCACATAGCGATGAAAGAAGAAGAAGAAGGTGTATTGGAGAAAAAAGTCAACATTAAAAGTGGCGACATGACCACAGGAATTTGCCTCAATCGGAAACCATGTTTACGCCGTTCCTGCGCGGACTCTAAGCTGTACATGTTGTTTGCAGTCAGACATCTACGCTGCCCAAAATTACCCATCCTGTGTGTCAACGAGATAAGTCAACACAAAAACAGCCAAGTATGACAAGAAAACACAAGAGGCACGAAGAATGAAAAATGAAACCCTGTCAACCCAAATAAGAACATCATGCAAGCTCTTCTGAATATTTGGGATGCAAATGTAACAGATATTTCCAAAACTGTTGGTTTTGGAGTCTAGCCTGCGCTGCACCGCTGTTCTTATGCCCAAGGAATGAGAAGGAAGTTCCAAGAAGGCACATTTCTGGGTCGCCTCAGGCCTGGCTGTCACGCCGCGGCTCCTATTACTCCTGCGCCAACATGAAACAGCTCGTCGTTTAAAACTAAAAAGATGTGCTCCACACACAGGCGGCATATTCATGTCCACATCAGTTGCAAAGATTACTGTGAGAAAAAACAATGCAGGTGCTGATATTTCACAGACCTGTCAGCTGTGCAGCTCAACAATACATGCACACAACAAAAGAGAGCATAAAGGACATAAAAACACATGCACAAGCTGCCTTTTCTTCTGAAAAACTACTACGAAAGGATCATGCTGCTCCTGTGACTGATGATTTTGCCAACATAAAGACTGAAAAAGCAGCAATTGATGTTTTCCAAGTGGCTTGAAAAACTTCCACTGACAGTTTCGATTGAAGCGGAAAACCTCTTTTCTGTAATGGAAGAAGGTTTTGGGGGAAGATGGGTTTTCCCTTTTTGTAATATCCTCAGAGCCATGCTTGGCACCGACGCCCTCTGGACTGGAGGATCTTGGCTCGGAGCAAACAATGGGGCTTCAAGTGAGTCATAGCAAGTAGAAGAAAAGATCAGAGAAACCATAAAGCTTTGTCATGCTGCTGATTAGCTGGAACTGTTAATTTCATTCTCTTGTTAACAACAAATGTTACAGGGAAGTTTTAGGGATCGCAAGCTTTTGAATTTAATGGAACACCGCGCTAAAAGTGGCCGAGCGGCAGCTCACCATTAACCCTCTTAGCTGTGAAGAGCAGCAAAGAGTGCGAGGAGTAAAATGGCCACCTTCTCATTTCGCCCGTTGAAGTGCTTGGACTGATAAAACACTCACTGCTTGTTTGGTGAGAATTGGCTGCGGAGCCACTTCTTTGGCAAATGATCTTCCTGCCAAAACAAACAGCCGCTTTTCTTCACCCCTTATCCACATACGCACACAAACACACACATTTTACTTGCTGACTCCACACAATGGCATGACTGTATCTGCAGCACCAAACAGACATCTGCCAATCGCCCTGCGGACCTCATTGTTACTCAACACCGGGGCACACAAACGCTGAGCCGAGTTCAGTCTCCAACAGATTTTTGCACTGCAACGAGAAAGTTGCCAATGAGGTCTGCCAACGTGCATCGCTGACCCCGAATAGCCAGAAAACAACTGGAACCTGATGAGCCCCCGGACTGTGGTGGGTAAGACAGAGAGAAGACAAGAGAAAAGGAAAGGAGGCTGAACTTGAACTCAGCTCAGGCAGCAAAGCACCTCCCAGCTACGAGGACTGCATTCCTCTGCATACTACACAAACATCGGCACTGTATCTGCACTTGCATATTCAAACAGAATGACAAAAATAAACAGCTGACGATGAAGCATGGCTGCTGATTGAAGTCATGGCTCAGTACCTGCAAGCAGTTACGCATACCCTATAGAAGACTAACAGAAGGGAATAATATGGCCAGGTGCATTTGTGTGCCACATTTGTGTTTACAGTTATAATCCAGCAAGTCTAAAGATCTCATATGGCTATGTGTACAAAAGACACACCTCCTTCTCTTATTTCTCTTATCGCTAAAACCTGGGAGGCATGTGCAGAGTTTATTTTGACCTTTCTGTCTTCCTACAGCATGATCTGACTGCTGTGTGCAGCAAAGCCTTGGTTTTTTGTTTGTTTGTTTGTTTCATTTACCACTGCAGCATGCTGTTTCCAGATCTCGTCAAAAAGTGGCAACTGAAATGTATTTCTTCAAGAGTTTATTTATCGATGCTGGAATTCATAAGTGGATCTTTCACATCACTCAGTCACTGCGAACTGAGTCATAGAAGCTATTCATAAATCGAGCTAGTGATTTACTTCCACCACTCAAAACGTAAGGAATGTCTTAGCTAGTAGAGACAGTAATAATGTGTAAATCAGTCACCGGGAAACATTTGTGGCTCCATCTAATAAAAAGCAATCATTGGTGCCAACAGGAGGTCACTGTAGTACCAGCATAACCATGAAACATTTCCATGGTATGCATTAAAAGTAGCTGCCAATTTTATCTGTGACTGTAATACTTTTTATATGTACATTCACAGAGGGATATTTCGTGTGGGTCTCAGAGTGAACAGTATTCAAATGATTTAAACTGGATTAGCGGACAGCTGATGTTTCGGGGCCTCCGGTATACCAAGCGGATAGCAGGCCAAGAGTTCCTGTTCGATGTGCCAATCACTGGTCATGAAAGCAGATGCATTTTTAAAAAGAGAAACTGTTGTCAGGCAGCAGATGACAGGTTCAAAATTGCATTTCGGCTAGTGTGTTCCCCGTTTTGCTTCCCTGCAAGCAAGCGAAGCCCACTCAAACATCACAAGTCAACCAATGGAATCCAAAAAGGGTCCGCTACCAAAACTTTTGCGCTGTCTTAAAACCTAGTTTCAAAGAGCAGAGGTGGGTGTTACACAACTAGTGACATTTTTACTTGTGTTTGACCCGTTGTCCCAATTTTTCCCAGTGAACATTGTGAATATGTTCTTACTTTCTTTGTAGAAAAAATGAGTAGTGTGAGAAATGATACTTTTTCTTCAGCATCTCCGCTGCCTGTTCCTACCCCAGCTCAACCTGTTATTTTACAAAGATCTCTGTTCAAAACTGTCTTTCAGTCTTATCAGTTTGCTTTCATTAATCAAGACCAGAACGCTATCCATTAAAAACAGAAAAACAGCTTGTCGCCTCTCTTCTCAGTAGTTGCAGGCTAATCTTAAAATTACCTTTTATTGCTAACATTTTGGAGAATGTCATAGCTAAGTGGTTTGGACAAAAAAAGCATCTTGGTAGATTTCAGTCTGGCTTTCATAGACCTCATCAAAACAGCTCTTCTTAGAGTCTCAAACAACCTCTCGATCCGAAGTGGTTCAGGGAAATGTTCTGTTTTGCTGATGTTGTCTGACCTCTGCCATTGACACTGATGACAATCACGTTATTTGTCATAGGCTGAGATACTGGTCGGTCTCTATCGGCGTTCTCTTTTAGGGCCCTTACTGTTTCTCTTATATCTGTTCGTTCTTTAACACATTTTGAGCACTCAAAAGGACATTTCTTAGCATGGCTATGCAGATGACATTCAGTTATATATCTATTTTAAGCTCCAAGATATTTCTGTTGCACATCAAACTTATGCAAATAGATTCTATTAAAAGTTGTTTAGCTGACAATTTTTGCCAACTTAATGAAGAAAAAACAGAAGTTCCTGTTTGTGCCTATAAGGCTACGTTCATACTGCAGGCGACTGCAATCCGACTTTTTTGACCCTATGCAACCCACATCCGATCATGGTATGACAGTGTGAACAGCACAAATCCGATATTTTCAAATCCGATCTGGGTCTGAATCCGATATATATCTGATGTTTTAGAAAGCGACTGCTGTTTGAACGGTCATGTCGCATCAAATCCGTCTTTTACGTCACTGACACAAGACAGACGCCAATTATCAGCCCTGGCCATCCAGTGTAGATGTTAGTGAAACTGCTGGGAAGACAACGTTGGAGAAACGTGAACATTTTATTTGTACTGTATAATCTGCAGATTCTGACAGAAATCTGCAACTATCCTTTGAAGCACCGCTCCTCTAAAACAGCAGTGGAGATAATTATTAGACCATATGTAAGTAGCAAAATAACTTTATAACTTAAAGCAAAATTGGGAAATGGAAAGTCTGAAACAAGTCTTTATATTAAGGGCCATCAGTCAAACAATACTGGTTGGTCTGGGTCTAAACAGAGCGTGCTCTGTGTGATGTCTTCTTTTGCGCATGCGGACCACTTTGAGCGTTCACACTAGAGCGCGTTTGCTGTCACAATTTATTTGTAGCGTGAACAAGCAGACAAAAAAATCGGATTTGATAAAAGAAATCGGAATTGAGCATTAAGACCTGCAGTGTGAACTAAGAGATTTGTGCCTACGGTTATGGAAACTCGGCTCGCCTTGCCACTTTTGCCAAATTTTCTATAAGGAATGTTTGTGTAACTTCTGACTCCGCTTTCACTTTGGTTGCTCGCGTTAAATCTCTGGCTTGCTCTTGTTTTTAATCACTTAAGTTGGCAAGGACAAGGACTGGCGTACATCAGTGGAAGTTTTTACCCATACATCCCCAGCAGGTCCCTCTCCAGCAATCTCTCCATCTGAGCCTGAAATCTGTGAACATTGGGGTATCTTTTAAAAGGCAGCTAAAAACTTACCTGCTGTTCAGAATTTCTGTTTGCAAGCAGAAGCCAATCAGAAGAAAGCTGGCTTAAAGCAGTGGTTCTCAAATGGTGGGGTGTTGAATCACCGCAGGTGGGACTCAAACAACCAGGTGAAAAATATGGGTTAAAATAAGGGTTATTTTTAGAGAAAATAAAGGGTTTGCTTATGTTAATCTCCTGACCTTTAAGTAAAAGTCAGCTTGAATCCTTCTTTGCACTGTTAATGATTGAGTGTGGGGTGTGAACATTTTTTGCCTTCTGAAATGGGGCGTGCCAGAAAAAGTTTCGGAACATCTGGCTTAAAGAACGGGGAAGTGCACTAAAATGGCTTATTTCAGTCAGAGTGACGGAGAGGCTCCACAGAGGCCCAGTATAACATAAATAAGGATTATTTTGAACTGTGAATCTTGCAAAGCTACTCTAGCAGACTCCCACATAGAAAAATGTACTTAGAAATGAGTAAAGGTCCCCTTCTAGGTGGTTTTCTAACAAAGTGCTGAACAGTTCCTCTAAGAAAAGAACATTTTTATGTTTATTAGAGGAAAATGCTTAGCATAGATGACATTAATTATGTGTACACTGTTCCTGTACTGTACTGTACTTCAGTGAAGTTCAAGAATAAAAAATTTAAAGCTGGAAAAGACCATAATAGGTCTGCTTTACTCTTTCAAGTAAGAAATGACCGTGAGAGATATGTGATAGATGATTATATTAATCTCTGTGTAGTCCAACCATAGCCAGTGTCACAAGCTCTGGCTACGGCAGTGCTGCAGGCATCTACAAAGAGAAGGCCTGCTCCAGTTTTTTCTCCCTGTCTCCCTTTTGTCTGCAGTGTTTGCTCTGGATTTGAGTGGTTCTTCTGGCGTTGGAGTGCTGTCGGCCCACGCCCTATAATGCCAACCTCTGTTAGAGAAAGATCTGGGTCTGTGCCACCACCGGTAAGATGAGGCCTATGCTAGTGTTATGGGCGTGCCAATTTCACCTGTTGAGTCATGCCACTATCGTATATTCATCGCCAGCCTATTTGCTGCGTGTGCAAAAATTAATTGCTCGTAGTTTTTGCACACCAAACGGTTTGGTGTGGCAGGTGCAGGCATCACATATGCATGTATAAAACAGATGTGGGTGCATTTGCTCACAGTCATTCAGACTTTCTGCTGACTCCCTCCCCCCTCCGTCATGGAGTCGTCTGTTAACACCCAGTTCACCAACACTCATATCCGAGGACTTAAGCTGTTGAATCGCAGGCAGATGAAGAGAAGCCACGGTGCATGTTGCGCCGCTACCCCTGTTACCTATATTTATTCTCTGTCTCGTCATCACTCTGCACAACTCTGTCGTCCACAGGCTTGCTGTTGTGGCACATTTATCTCTGTAAAGATGGGTTCACATAACCATGAAAGAGCTATTTTTTTGTAAGCCGAGCTGGACAGAAAGAAAAGAAGCAACGAGACTTAAAACGTCTCCCTCTGTTCACTGTGCACTACCGATACATATTCATAAAGCAGTTCTTCTCCTTTTGTAAAGTTTCTTTGATAAAATATTTTGACAGTGTTGCCTAATTTGGAGCAAGAGCAGAGGCCTGCACTGACTTGCTGTAATCTAAAACCCAAATACAAGCCGATAGTTACTGAAGTAAATCTTCCGTTTCAAAATACCTCAATATTTAACATCGATCATACTTCTCATTCTAGACTTTACCCCTGAATCTGTCTGGTCTCCGACAATGTTTCTAAGAGCTACTGTAGCTACTCCGACGTGTCAGGTCAAACGCAAGCTCTGTAAGCGGACGTGTTCTCGGATACCCAGAACGACCTTTAAGAGTACAAAACGTGGTTATCAGAAGGGTCATTATGGCCACTGCTGAAATTCAAATGCCTTTGGTCGATAATGATGCAGTATTTCCAACATACGCTCGTCAGTCACTCGAGAGCTGAGACATTTGGGGGAAATTTGTGTGACTCAACGCAACTGGAGTAGGTTCAGCTTTGGTAAATAATTCATTTATCATAATTTGTGCCTTATGACGTGTCAAATTACACCAAAGTGGAACGGACCTGGCTTTGATGACAGAATCTAAAAAGCTCATCCCTTGTGAATTTGACCTCAGGCTCACCCGGATTCCCCCCCACCTTCCCTCTGTTCTCGGCTGGTAAAAGAAACGCTGCCTGGTGTTGAGCTGGTGCTTCAGGGACTGATGGCGGCTGAGCAGCAGCCATGAGGGAAGCACACTGTCAGTCCTGTGATAGCCGTATGAGATTCCACATGCTCTGATGAGTAATTCCTCCCTCCCCTCTCCATCACCATGTGGTTCGTGGCCCTGAGTCATCGTCCACACTTTCCCTCACTCCCTATCCTCTTGTCTGTCTCTCTCTCTCGACGTGAAGAGGTCTCTTCCTTCAGCGACCGTCCCACAGGGAAACTCAACAGAATAGCCTCCCTCAGATGACTCACTCGCCAACATCGAGAGCTCCACACCATCCGCTCTCCAGCCATGACAGCCCACCACACCACACCCAGGCCTGGATCCCATGTCCTCCACGGCCCGCTTGCCTCTATCAGTGCGTGTCTTCTTGCCTGTCCTTTTCTGTTTTTCTGTCTGCCTGGTAGCCATTTTCTGTGTCTCTCTGCATAGCTGCTGTCTTGTCAAGATGCTTCATTGTTTACCTGTCTTTACACTCCCATCTGTCTGCCTGTATTTCTACCAGCCTGTACTGTACATCGTCATATTCTGAAATTGTTTTTGATATGGCTTCATGCTTGTCAGCTTGACGTATTTGTCAGACTACCTGCCTGCCTGCCGCTCAGTCTCTATATCTCAGTATGTCCCCTGATACTCCAATGCAATGTCAAAACACAGAAGGACACCCAGCGTCGACTTCCCGTCTGCATATTAAACTATAAAGACTGGCACGACTGTAATGGTAATATTATTCAAGTCTGCTGAAGAGAAGCGTTGGATTTGTTAGTAAATAGATGCTTTTGATTTTGCTTGTGCAGTTCTCAGACAGTTGTGCATCCACAGACATGCAGTGAAACTTTTGACAAAGGTTACTGCACAACTGCAGATGGTATCCTTGATTTCACGTGTTCTGCACTTCAAAACATATTGTGATTTCTATGGCTGTTTGAACCGAGGTGAAAAATCTCTGAATGTGACCCGTTCGCATGCACTTAATTGCGCCTTGGCCCTGCAGTGTGACAAGTTGCTCACGGGAAGCTGTTCAAAGATCCTCTACATGCTGCAACAGGAGATTTGTTGACCATTGCAAGAGCAATAAGGATTTTTAGGGGCATTATGACTGGGTTAATAAAACACAGCTGCCCCTAAAAGTCCCTCACTTTTCTTGCTGCCTTTTCTTTCTCTCTCCCTCCCTCCCTATCTTTGTGTCTCATTCCAAACTTTTGAGATCAAACTACTAGTACATTCGCTGGCTTTTTCAAATGCGATTTGGTGCATGACTCCGGTATCTGTTCAGCCCTGGCTAAAGAAATGAAACAACCTGAAGTGACCACCGTGTCTGGAGTTTGACCTTTTAAAGGGGCTGGGTCATATATTTCACGAAACTGAGCATGCTTTCCAGTATTTATGAATTGTATATTTATAATGGCAGAGTTTTATTGGGATTTGCAGTGACGTTTTTAAAAGGGAGTTGAATGAGTTCAGAGCAGAATTTCCGAGAAGGAGGCCTCCCTGTGTTCATTACAAGTTCAGCTTTCACAGAAAGCATAAACACAATCCGAGGCCGTCACCTTACACAGAGTTTTCTATATGATGCACACGATAACATACACACGCGCTGACTTATGTTCGGAGAGCAGTGAACCCAGTGACCCAGAGCAGAAAACAACCTGGGAATTGTAGGAAAAGTCTATTTAAAGTAAGTCTACAACCCTGCCAACAAATGGTGAGGAGAGAATATGAGACAGCCGTGGTGGAAAAAAAAAAAGAAAAAAAAAAAGATGTAAGCAACACTGTGCAGCAAGTGGTGAGATGAGTCCGATTGGACCTTTTAAACAATGTGAAATGCCACTGAGAGAGGCTTGGCAGGCGGCAGCAGCCAGCACTGTTTAATATCACAATTTTAATCAGCACACTTGGTGACTATCCCAGAGCTCTCCGTAGCCATGCTGCTTATTCAAACCAGGCTCGTTCCACCAAGCCTCCCTTACTAGGCCCTCGGCTCTCATACTCACACTGGCTTGTACTCTCCTGCAGCATATATGGAGAGCTCTTGGCTGGAGTGGTTTTATCTGTTTTCTGTGATGTGTCATTGCACTGTAGTGTGCTACGTTGGAGGGAATCTGTGATGATAGTTGAGCGCATCTCAGCGAATCTTAGGTGGACTAGACACATTTAATGTGTTCTCCCGATTGGATTTTAAATGTACTTTATAGCTATCTGATAAGAGCGTGAAATAATTCTATATGTAACGCTGCCAATTAGCATTAGGATGCCACAATGAATTTCATTAGAACGCCCAGAGGTTTGCAAGGTGTCAACTTTCCAGTAACTTCAGTCCACAGCTACTTATTATAGACGCAACGAGTAATGGCAGGCTTGTAAACACAAATGGCCTGCCACTGATCTGTTATACGCAGCCTACAAAACAACTCGGGTTCAAGTATTAAGAGTTTAATAAATAACAGTGACAAAAAAGATCAGCGTAACGACATCCCACCTACTGTGATGTCAGCAGAGTTTGCTCCATTTACAGGACACTTTTAAGTGTGTGTTAATAATCATGGAGGTCTTGTTTTTTTTAAAAAAAATAAATATCCCATTATTCAGCAAATGTCTTACCTACGTGTCGCTTGCAGCACAGAGATGCCACCACTGCCCTCGGCTCTATTAATTACATAAAGCATCTAGTGTCAGGATGCTAAATTCATTAGTGAGGTATGTACGGCATGCTAGGGTCAGGACAGATATAGAAACAGGCCTCCAAAACAACTTCTTCACCATTTGACACACTTGTTCGACATAATAGAGGAGGCCACTTTAAGATTTTTGACAGCTCTGCCTGTTTTATTGAGATGCGTTTATGTAGAGCTTGAGCTTCAAGTTTCAACAGTAAATTCTGACTTGAGTGCTCATCTGCATTTATTAGTGCTTTGACTGTTGCTATACACCTACTTTCTTTTCTTTTGAGGGGGGGGGGGTAAACAAAAACTAATTTGGCCCATTTTGGAAGAAAAAACGATGGGAAATGTAATTTGTTTTCAAAATAATTACTCACGAATTGTACAGCTACATGAGAACAGTGGGGGGGATATCAGAGGGTTTCTTGTCTTGTTTTTTACTCCAAATTATTCATTGTATAAATCGGAAACAACGTCTGCTCTCGGTTTCTGGGTACACTTGACACGCACTCTTCTTTTCCGGGGCTGTATGTAAAAAGTTTAAGCTTGACTAGTCAAACACCTTTTCGCCAATAATTAAACAGTGACGTTCACTGTTTGATCTATAGATATATTCAAATCGTTATTTTCACATAACATGACATGGTTTTTTTCTTTACTTTTTAAAATACATTCGTGTAATTTTCTTGTCCATAAACTTTTAAAATTTAACTAATGTTCGCGTAATTTTGCCTGGAGTTTATATGTGTAGGGATTTCATTAAATGACTTTATGGTCACGTTATGTTAGTGTATTTTTTTCCCTCAGTTTCGCCATAGCATTTGCACTAATTATTCTGGGTAACTTTAAGCTATGTATCTGCTTGCAACACAAAGGGTTTACCTCTGCTTTAAAATGCTGTCTGTTCCCTAAGGTTTTTTCTTTTCTTTAATAATAGATACATAGTCGAGGTGTATTGTCTATGACTTGGGGGTCACATGAGCCAGAAACTGGGACTTTGTAGGCCAGTTGAATGAAATGAGGACTCACCTTGCCCGCAAAGACCCAGCCTCTGACACACTATCATCAGTCCCGTCGCCGGGGACTGCATGAGGAGGAAACTCCAGAGGTTTACATACTGAAATATCTCTCGACTGCGCGATTTCACTTTCAGAGCAAATAAGAGAAGATTTAATCTGCGCCTGTTCATACATACCCTCTAATCTGCTGCCTGTCGGTGTTCGAAGAAGTAGGCGACACCGTCGGATTGTAGTTACCTGTGTACCGGGCAGGTGTTCGCATCCCATAGCCCATATGGAGACCTCTTCACGTAATACGCGCCGACTGTCTGGTGGGTTTGTCTGGCTGCCTGGAGGAGATCGCGTCTGCATGCGAAGTTGAACTTCACCGTCCATCCACCACCAGCACCACCGCCGCCCAAGTAATATGTGATCACTTGGTGTTGCACGCATCCCAAATTGAGCAAGATTATCCTTTTGGGGGGGTGGGGGCCGGGAACTGTCTTATGGAATAAGTCGGACAGTCCCCCTGGTCCATCTTTTTTCCTGTCTGTCCAAAGAGAAAAAACATGCAGACGCAACAGTGTCGAGCCTTGTGCCAGTCTCCCACCTCCCGCCCTCCCTCCCTTCCTTCAAGAAAAAAAAAGAGAGAGAGAGGGAGAGACAGCTTTTGCGTTTCCCAACGAGAGATCCCCCCGTGCGCACCCAGCCACTCACCCAATATCCATTCTGGAATGGGGGGCGGGAGAAAAAGGCACCCTGCTTGCGCCGCTGCTGCTGCCGCCGTGCTGCAGCTTTTCTAGAGCAGGATATTCCCAAACAGCTGGAAAGAGCTGATATATGGTGCTGCGCCCTCGTGTTGGGCCCTCCCCAAAATGGACCGGTACTAAGTGCTAACCTGGTTATTTTCAGCGCGTCACTGGCTCGTTTCCAATTATAGGTTTCCGACAGCGGCACAGCAAAGTGACCCCGTAGTCTTTACTACACTGCCCGAGGACCTGAAAACGATCGAGCACCACATACAGAGTAAAAACCCGAGCATGTGCGTTTGCTTCTGAACTGCACACATTCCTGCGGTGCGTTGGCTTGCCCGTCCACATGCGCCACAGAGGCCCCCGCGCTCAGCTGCGGTGTCCGGCGGCTCCGCGGCGGCTCGTCTGCGCCTCTCTCAAGGTGTTCCCCTTTTACCGATGCTGTGCGGGAGGCTATATACATCCCAGGTTCATCACACCTCTCCCGTTACCTCCCCGACCGGCAACGCGTTAGTGTGCCGCGACACCTGCTGGCTGCAGCGCGACGTGACACTTCATCGTTCTGTGTATGTTTCAAATGTAACCTGTATTGTTTCAAGCAGATCACCGATCACGTGTCGCTCCACAGCAGGTGGTAATTACGGCGTGACAGCTGGATTCAGTCCGTGGCTCCGTTAAGTATTTTCAGTGAGATCATGACGGGTGTGTGTTTAGTTATAGTGCTCCGTGGGCCATTATTCCAGCCTCTCTGACTTCATTTACTCACTCTGGTCAAATATCTGTTGGTATTCTCTTCAGTTCATCTCATGTTCTTTGCGTCTTTTGCTTCTGTTTGTTCTTTCGTTTTCAGCTCTTTTGCAGTTAGTTATATTCGTTTATTTCGTAATATTTTTACTATATTGTTTGATTATTCTCTCAGCAACATTTCATTCTCCTTTGATCTTTTACATTTTGTTCTACATTACTTACACACAATAGTCTATATTACATATCACATCTATTTGACGTGTGATAGGCCTACTATATTCTATATCTCTGACATCTATTATATTTTCAATAAATTGTATATAAATATTGTATTTTCTATTACATTCAAGTTTTTTGCATAATGTGAAGGAGTACTGTCTTCATTTTGTTTTGATGACAGTAAAGAATACTGAATCTAGTTTCTGAGGTTCAGAGGTTAAGGTTTGGTATTATCATCGGTGCCTGATCAGAATACATGAACACTAAAACATTGTTTATTTTTAGTTGAAATATGGTTTCATTAGTGCCATGGATTGCATGAGAAGTGGACAGGACGTGAGGAAAAGAGTTAATAAGATGTTGGAGCAGCTCGGTGAGGGTCAAGAGGTCACTGGACAACCAGCTCTCCATCACAGACAAACTACCTCCCCCTCTCCTACTGCACAATACGGACGTAGCGGGACACACTTCTCCCTCAAACTTCTTCAATCCCACTACCATAATGAATGTTCTGGGAAGTCATTCCTACCCTTCCCTTTTAAACTTTACAGCAGCTCTCCTTTTTGTGGTGACAGGTGATCACACCTGTCCACACACATATACCTCTATATCAAACCTCCTTCCTGTTGTTTGTCAGACTTATAGTGTGCATGGTAATGCCATTTGCACTGCTCTTTGCTGGAATTGTCTCTTGCACATTTTCAGTGTTATTTTTTTTATTTAATCCCACTTATACTGAAAATCCTATTCTCTCAATGTTGCATAAAAAACTGCACTCCCTTGCATCATAAGGCCTTTGACGTGTGGCTGTGGTACTTTCAATAATAGTGGTTTTATTGTTAATTTCACTGTTATCATTATTATTATTTATGGTGCTGCTACTGCTGCTGCTGTAACACACCGAATTTCCTTGTGGAAGTATCCGTCTTTCTTTCCGTTACTACTGATGGCTCCAGATTTTTGGTGAGATGTGTATTAGAGGAAACGGTAATTAAAGGGCAGGAAGTGGGATCAAACAGGCTGCAGCCCTGATGGAGGACTTCCCTGTAAGTACAGCTGCAGCTGTTCTCATGCTGGCTTTGTACATCTGATTTGTCCTTTTTGCCCCTGTGTCGTTTTTAATGATGAGTTTGAATCTTGTGTGAAATGTTTGTGCGTGATTGTAGTCTCTGTTCTGATCATTTATTCAGTTCTGTTGAGTTCTACTCGGTCCTGAGCTCATGCTCCACTTTTAGTCTTGCTGCTGACGCTCCTGTGTGACGCCCTCACAAGGCATCAGTCAGCTGCTTCACCTCACATCAAAAGCCCATAGTAATAACACCGGAAATTGGAGGATTTCTTATCAAAATAAACGTATGACCTGACGCTCGGTACTAAAGAAGCTATTATTAATAAGAAAATCAATGATAACTTTAACCCGGTGTATTCAGGTGTTAGAGCCTTTCTCCAATAAATATATCTGTTGCCGTGGCCTCATTCCCTCATTGAGTTTTGCTATTATCGATTTAAATAGATAACTATTTAATTTTAAAGGTTCGGTCCGGAAGCGATGCCTCCGATCGAGGTGGACTTCTCGCCAACCAGCAATGACCGATTTGGTTCCTGACAAGAACACGCAGGTTTGCCACATAAACAAGATAATTCATTACTCCAGAAACAGCAGGACGGATGTTCATCATCGGCCTCATCATCGCTGTAGCATCTGACACTTGTCGGTGAGTTTTGGCTCCGTTTCGGAAACGTCTTCGTCGCGTTAGTGTTACAGCCTGAGCGGTTTGTGCGCAACACAACAACACGTCCCCCCTCAAACTGTGGATTAGGCGTGAGGTTTGCGAGGTTACTGATCCCACAAGGCCAAACGCTGTCATGCTCGTAATGCCAAGAATCCAGTGGGTGCGTGACGTCATCGCGCGTTGGAGTGAGGTTCGCGTTGTTTTCAGTAAAAAGTGCGAAAAAGATACGAAAGTTTAAAAAGGAATATATCAGTAGTTGATCCTTTTTGTGTCAAGATTTAAAAACTGGGTTAGTTTCATCCGTTAAAAAAGTCGTTATCTGGTTATTTCATTAGCAAAATAAAAAAAAATATAATTTAAAGTCATCGCTTTTGTTTCAGTGAAATAAAAATCACGCAGTAAATGTTTAATTTTTAGCTGTGTGTTGGTAGAGTAAATTATGAAAGTTTGTACTTGAGCACAGGGGGTATTTATCTATCAGCATAAAACATGTTGATGGTTCCGACTTAATCCTTAAATTTTGGAGTTTTGTTTTATTTTTGTTTTTATTTATTTATTTATTTATTTTTCCAATTTCATTTTAGACTTCATGTTGGGCATATTTTTTTTGTGATTTTCTTCCTTTTTGGAGGTAGTAGAGGCAACCCAAACACACGCGATATCAGTGGAAAGCAAGGATGTCCAGGATGGAGTAAGATATCTCAAATAAGTCAAAAGATAGAGACCAAGACGAAATGTCCATTACAGAGGACATAAATGAATAGGCTGGTTCTCAGGAGAATATATTAAAGTTCTCTGTTGGATACAATAGAATGCAATAATATCGAAAAACAAATTATCATTAATATTATACAATTATGTTTATTCTGAAGTTAAAAAGCAAATTGTCTTTATCATTATTAAATTAATAAAAAAAATACAGTAATTGCATGATAATTATTAACGTACCTCAATCGCTTAAACAGAAGAGTTTCACTTGCAGACAGCTATCCATCCATCCTTGTCTTATCCAAGTGGATGTGCATGTCTTCCCACTCCTTTTCAGATACACAAACTAAATCTGAAGGTGTTCTGAATAAATTAAACAAAACAAAATTCAGGGTCTTGGTGTGGCTGGAGCTCACTCCACAGGTAGGGTGGACAGGTAACCTGTGTGTTGCAGGCTAAAACATAGACTAGCATTTACACCTTTCTTTCACCTTTATGTCTGTGGACTGTGGGAGGAAGTCCAAGTAGCCAGAAAGATCCCACACAGGCACGTGGAGAAAATGCAAACTCCACACAGAAACCCTCAGATTTTTCAGTAGTTTGGTTTATTTAAAACCTGATTTGTATGATATTTTCTGTTCGTGGCTGTAGAGCTTTAACTGTATTTGCCGTTTCACAGGCAGTCATTATGCCCACACATTGCCATCTCCTCGCTGCACCATGTGTCACCCTCTTCTCTTGCTCTCTCTTTAGTGCAGCAGGGGCCAATAAGCAGCGGATGCGGTGGGCGTCCAGCTGCAGGCGGCCCTCTCAATGGTTTCTCCCACCATGAAGGCGCTGGTGGATGCCGTATGGGCGGTGTGGAGCATCGGGGTCTCCATCTATGACTACATCCACACCAGTGCGATGGAGGAGCGCATCCACGCCTTGGAGAACGTCATCACCATCCACCAGTTTGTGATTGGGCTGTTGTCTGCTGGCGTGTTGGTACTCTTCACCTACATCTTCTTTAAAAAGCTCTGAAGATGTGTGATGTGGAGGGCTGGGGTTGGCATGTGGGAGGTGATGTAACCAGAATTTTGGGTACATTAGAAATGCTCACAGGAGTCATGGTTCTCGGTTTTGGTGTTCATGGAAGGTACGTTAGTATAGTTTCAGGTTTTTCTTTGTGTTTTTTGGAGGGGGAACACATACAAGCATATATTGTATTTATTCCTAAAATAAGAAAAGTGGTAGAAATGTGGAAAACACTAAAGATCATCAAGATATTAAGTTCATTTTTAACTGTTTTAAAATGTGGTCCAACTTTTTTTCCTAAACATGTTTGGAGGTTAAAACGCGCTGAAGTACACACCTTCTAATAAGCGTCCAACTATTTTTAAAAGGCTACAATAGATTGAAGTTGAAATTCGTCTGCTGATATTCATAAAATGTTAACTTTTTTTTCTTTTAATAGCTAAAATACTGAAATTGTAACAGTTTCCACAAATTTAAGGGTTATAAATCCTTAAAGACCATCATGAGCTGATATGGCTCCCCTTGCACTCTATTGCAGATTTTGCAGACTGAAGCTGCAGAGTAAAATGTACCCCTCACTGCATTAATATTTCTCAGGTTAGCTTCCCCCCACCCCACCCAAATTTTAGAAACAGGAAACTCAAGTAGCTCAACTCCACTTACAGAGAAATTTGCAGCTCTGCTTGTTTTTGTAGTGGGATCATTAAACATACCACTTTCTGCCTTAATTAATATTTTCATTCAATGAAAATTCAGTTCAGGACAGAGATGATGTAGTTTTGTCTCAAAGATCTTCTACAGAGGACTGTCATTAATTTATCTCAAGCTCCCCCCAAAACTGCCACATGGACCTCATGTTAACAACCTGTAGGGTGTTAAGAGTAAACACCCGCACGCTCTCTGTATTTATCATTTTCAGTTAAACATGCTTTTGTCTAGTGATACAATTTGATACTGTAGGTCTACATGTGTATTTTCTACTAGATTTTAATGTGTAACATGATCTATTTATAAGCTTTTTCCATTAATATTGTTATACCTCATAACTTTCCTACATTGCTGTATAAACTGTAACAATTTAAAGTGTCCTTACACACTGTAAATATATTTTGATGTTGGCAGGTGTGGGTTTTTTCCCTTTTAGTTGGCCTTGAACTCAACATACATGTGCTATTCCCTCACAGAGTACTGCTGCTGCTGCTTCGTATTTATGGTTTGTGACCTTTAAAGGCAACATTTTGTACCATAAAAGGTGAGAATTAAGTGATACTTGATACTGACAGCAAACAATGTGTGATGTAAAGTATGCTTCAGAGGATAAAAGGATGTTTTTATCAAAATAACCGCTCCAATCTATAAGCGTTGGAACAGTGAGAGCTACCGTTACATGACTGCTTCGTTAAGAAAAAAGTGGTTGTGTAATTTTACTGCGTCAGACAGACCATAACCCGAGAAAACACACAAGAATGAAAGACTGTTTTAATATCATCTTCATAACAGCATTAAAATTTATCTTCTCAAAATGACAAACGTGTATTTAATGACTCTGGGCGTCATTACTGTGGGGTTAACAAACGCAGCACAGACCTTAAAACAAAAACGAACACCTGTTGTAAGAAAAAACAAGTCTGTGAAAATGAGAATTGTTCTTGTAACATGGCTGGAACCTTTAAAGAGGAACGAGCAGGTTTATTTTGAATGAACCGCAAACAACAGAAACTGCAAAGCTGGGAACGAAAGAAATTCAGCACGGGACCAGTCTTCAATTAGACTGGGAGGAAGAATCACTCAGAAACGTGCTTGTTCGTCAGCTGACAAACCTCCACAAGGTATTTGTTGTCTGAACTCACAGCCTTGTTTTTCTGCTACTTATAAGTGTCCAGTCTGAAGGAGTGCATGTTTGGAAATGAATCTTTCTACACTCTCTCCTTCCAGAAACTTCATGGCTCTCCAGTGGATCTTTCCACAGTTCTCTGGCTGACCGAGGGGTCCGAGTTCCTCGCGGATGTACTGCAGCCACAGATCTTTAGAAAAACGAAACAGGAAACAGTTATGTTTAAAAACAAAACAAAACTAAAGGTTCTTAATCTAATTACCTCTATCCATACTTTTACACTACAAGGACAGAAGTATTGAGCCACATCTCTATAGAGCTTATAGCATTACAAGTGTGGTACTGTAACATGCCACTCACTGTCTTCCTCCCTGAGCCTGGCTGTGCCAGCGGTTTCTTCCTGTCACAAGGGAGTTTTTCCTCCCCACTGTTGCCAAGTGCTTGCTCAAAGGGGATCATTTGATTGTTGTGGTTTTCTACATAATTCTATTTATTTTTTCCTTTAAGATAAAGTGCATTGAGGTGATTGTTGTGAGTTGGGTCACCAAGTGCTGGGACACATAATGCACCGAGACCTTCATACCATGGGTTTCCATGGCTGAGCAGCTCCTGTAGGTGCAATATGGAGGTGGCTCGTCTAACTTTGTTCTTTAGCAATACAGATTCTCTTGAACGTGTTTTACTCTTGTCCTCTGACTCAGTCTGATTAACTAACTCTAACTGTTGATTAGCTGTTCAGTCCAAACCTGTATTTGATTTGTGCTCACATAACATACAAAGACACATCCTCTCGTTTTGGCGATCTCTTTTTTTAATCTCTTCCTCTAATTTGTAAATACTGTTCCTGCTGTTCAACCCCTCTGTTGGAATTGATATTTTTTATATTGTCATTTGTGCTTAGAAATATATAATCATTTGTACGCTGATAAAAATCATATCCTTATTAGGTCTGATAAGCTTCTGTGTGCGCGTGTGTACCATGAGTTGAGAGGAAGCAGCCTCGACGTCATCATTTCCATTATAGCTTTAGAAATCAGAATCGTTCTGTTTCTTATAAGTGCGAGACTTCACACCTTTAAATGTTCGTCTAAGACATGACCTGTTGCAAGTTCCTGTTCTTATCATTTAGCGAGACGCTTACTTCTGCCTTTCTGCATACCTCATACACAGTTTAAGTTCATTGAAAGGTCGTATGCCTATGTATGGTACAGCTGTAAACACACACACATGCACCTACACACACCCACACACACAGAATATAGACACTGATGTTGTTCAGATATGCCTGCTTAAGAATGTCACATGTATTTGTAATTGCACATTCATGAATGATTGCTTGCTGACAATAAAAAAAAGGGCTGTAGCGAAGGAATCAGTTGAAGTTGGCTAAGGACAGGTGAAGGCCTGGGCTGACTTCCCTCGCGAGCCACAAAGACAAAGAGCTCTGTCTTGACTTGTTTTGTCGTGCAGTTATTGTGTGTCTCGTGTTCCAGCGGGGTTTGTGCCTAGATAAACCCAACACCCTCCACCACCCCAGCATCCACCTGGGTCTGTTTGTATTAATGGGGAGCAATGAGCTCACAAACTTTAATATTCGTCTTAAAACTTGAGCTTGCTGGCTGAGCTGAAAGCATAAATAATACCAGCTTTCCGGTTCATTCCAGCTCCTTAACCTGATTTAAATTCACCTTCATTGGAGGTGCCGAACTCCTGCAGCACCCTCTCATAGTAGTCCCTCAGATAGTTCATCTTTGGATTTTCCTGAAAAAACAACATTGTAATCACATTAATTGTTTTCACTTATCAGCAACATCAAAGGTATCTTTCCAGTGTCAAACTATCAATGAAGTCAGTACAACATAAACATTATAGTTGGTGGCAGGCAGAAGAATGAGGATGTCACTGGGCTTCATATACGTACTTGTTCCTTCTCGATTTGAATCATTCTGGTGAAAAACTCCTTGGACAATGGGCGGTTTTCCTGTAAGCTACATAAGAAAAATGCAATTTAATTAAAAGGTATTAAAGATCCTGAACGTTTATTTTGCACCTGCAGGTCAGTGCTTTGAGACCCGTTAAACTTATATGTTCCTGCTTCATTCATCACCTAAATTAAAAACTACATGAGCAGACAGAGTTATCTGATTTTCACCTTGTAAAGGTCTTCCTCGCCTTCTTGTAGCCTCCAGTGGAGTAGGACCAATCGAGGTAGCACTCTTTCATCTCCATGGCAACAGCCGGGACTGCAGACAGCAGACCTCTCTGGGAACAAGCAAGAGAACAAACTGTCTGCAAGGCATATCCTCATTTCAGAGGCAAAAACACTATTAATCTTGCCTGCTTTAGCTTTTATTGTTTACTCTTTATCTCATCTCTAGCTTACTCAGCCTTTTCTGATCACAGTCTGCCTGCTGTACTTTATATTACAGTGCAGGATCATATTTTATCCTGTCATTAACTTCTTATGTTGCGCATTTCATTTCTAACAATTCAAAACTGTGTTTCCAGCGTAACTCTTATCGATAAAATATCGGTGTAAACAAATCCACAAAAAATGAAGCGGATAAATTGCTCTAAATGCTGCAGGCTATAGCAAGATCACACTGCAGCTGTTCAAACGGCTGGATTCGGGTGCACTACCTTGAGGATGGCTTCTGTCTCCTCGGCACTCTGGCTGGCCTTGCTCCACTCAAACTGCAGCTGCCACAGTGGTAGACTCTCCTGTCAAGACAAGACGCGGTTACATGAATGAGCTTCACCCACCTTAAAAAATGTGAATGTACCTTACATTAATATTACGCCTGTTCATTAATAAGCAACCATTAGGCGCACGCATTTTGTTCAGACACAAAACTTTCACGACTTAACACTGATGAATAACAACAACGTAAAACAGTCAATAAAAGAACTTCTGGATTATCGTGAGTTTGTATTAGAGGTGCCTCACTGTTAAAACACTTAAGCAGTGTTGACAGTCCAACCTGGGATATCTGTCATCAGACTGAGTGTTTCTATTAAACACTAATGTCAATTTTAAACTGGCACATCATTGCTAGCTTGTAAGAAACACAGCTACCAATTGGGTGGTCAGTTCTGATCTTTTCTAGTAAGTAGGATTGGTATCATTTAAAGTAAATATAGCAAGTGAGGGACACTATGCATCATCCGGTATGACACTACAGCTGATATTCACATTTGAGAAGCAGCAGGAACCAGAAAGGATTTGGCCTTCTCAGTCTCCAGTGAACGTGTCAGAGCATGCAAAGCTCAGATCAGAATTAGTTACCGGGTTTTGCCATTATATGCAGAGATTTTAAAAATGAATAATCACTCAGGCAGCATCTGTTCTCAGCCAGGAGGGAAGGATCAATATACCTTCTGGAATCGGCATGAGTACAGAATGACAGGATAAAGAACGTGCTTACATTTTCACCATTGATTTATCTGCACTTCTGTGCTTTTCAATGCGGAAACTTAACATTGTTGGATACACAGGCCTCCAACCCTGGAGGTGTGTGCCACTTCTCCACGCTCAAACAGGGTGTTTTGTTCAAAAGAAAAGACTTGCATAATAAGCAGCTGTACTAATCCTTCTTCTCAGGGCCGTGGACTTACGAAACCCCCACCACAACAATAATCAGCTATTCTATTCACTGCTACAAAGGCCCGCGGCTCAGTCGAGGCATGCGTATTCATAGTTGTACAGAACTGTGCAACTATGAGGGAGGTTCAACAGAAAAATTAAGAAGAACGTTCTGACTACTCTGAAATATAGGAGAGATTGTAAGATAAGGTTTAATTGACCACTGACCAGAAGAGTACATAAGAAATTCTAAACTCTAATTTATAAGGTCAAACTGAGCCGAGATGGAAATCGGGCTTCAAATTATTAATGGTCAGACTCGGGCTGCTGCGTGGCCTCCATAAATATTCTCCCTTTTTTTCCTGTCTGCACTGAACTGATTAACTGATATTAATTTCTATCTGCTCTCTTCTGTAGTTGGCACCTTCTTCTCTGTCCCCTCTTTCTTTGTACCCGTCTGCATGAGTTTCTAATTCTGGACCTGCTGTTCCTGGTCCGTATTTATTGGCCCCATCAACATGCAAAATGTCTTTTTAATATATACACATGCATGTCTACCGTTTCCCTTTATTCTCTCTGCACTTGACACTTGTGACAGATTCCTGCCCTAAACCATAACAGCCCCCAGCTTCATCATTGGGGTAGCTTTTACCTTTAAAAAAGGTAAATTGATACACAAATATCTGCACGATTAAATTTAGTTTTTCACCTGCCTTCATGTGCGCTCACATACAGGCAGATGAAGACAGTTGAGGAAATTAATATGACTGAACAGAGACTAATTAGGCCAAGGAGATGGCCCACTTATACAGCACTGCTGGTGGCTAGTGTGTGTATGTGTGTGAGTGAATCCATATGTCTCTTTTCTCCAAGGACAACAATTAAAGCGGTGCTGCCACTCAGTGTGCTGAACAGTGTTTATGTGATAGTGTAAGATGAGAAAATTACTGAACCCCATTATGTGATTTCAGAAAAGCAAACGTGGCTCTCCCGATCCAGTGTGTGTGTACCTTGGGATTAACGTGTTTGAGAGCGTCCTGGAAACACCGGCCTATGTCTCGGCTCCCTAGCTCCATCAGCGTCTGCAGGCTCAAACTCCACATGGTCAC